ACAGAGGCTGGTGTTGGAAGATAAGGATTTAAAAACTAAAATTAGTACAAACACATTATTTTGTTAAACTGTTTTTAGAAGCGGAGCGTCTCAGAGGTTTGGCTCTGAATTCACCACTTGTTCGTAGCCATGACCATATTTGGTCGGTTGTTGGGAGGCTGAGATTCCACCAACGAACTCCTCAGCTGCGTTTGTATTTTCTGAGGTTCACTGAGGTAATCAATGCTTCTGTTTCCACCTTTTACTGTATTTAGTTTTTTCACTATGCGTCGTTTTTTTACACCAGAGGAAGGGAACAGCAAGTGAGTGTTTGAAATTGCTTTGGACCCCCGCTGAGAGGAGACCACTACGAAGACGTGCATATGGTAATTCACGGCAAAACAGCTTTAAATTAAAGGTTATTTACAGGGGACGGAAACAGCAGCAGATACAAATACTGTATACGAAAAGGAAAACGCAGATGAACTGTTTACTGTCCTACAGCAGAGAGACGGAAAGACATGTCCAACAGGACACATGTCCAACAGGACACATGTCCAACAGGACAGCTTTTGTAAACCGGACCAGTTGTCACTTATAACCGCTGTATGATCAGAGACAAAAATCTGAATAAAAAGTGAATCCAGTTTTTCCCCCGGGACGTTGCAGTATTTTGACTCTCTCACCGCCGAGGAAACGTCCAACGTCAGTTTAAGTCCGGGGTGAAATACAGTCCAGTCGAGAGTCTGTGTGAGGGTTTCCTAATGAAATTTAAATAAAAACACATCAGCTAGCTCAGTGCAGCGAACACACGAAGGCCCTCGGTTCATTCTCATTCTTCAGCACCGGAGGAAACAGAACAGCAGCGAGAACACGACCATAATGAGCGCTAACGAGCTGAAGGCCGATGTTGTTCATGAGTTGACGTCAACTGTTCTGTTCAGGAGGACGACAAAGAAGAACCAGCCTTGGTTTTTTTCATCTGTAAAACATGGAGGCTGTGTCTCCATCTAAAAGTGCAGTTTATGCTAACTGTACATTTGATTAGCATTGGAAATAGAGAAGTAACATTGTGAGCGTGAAATTGGAAATAGAGAAGTAACATTGTGAGTTACCTGTCGTACATTTGTTGCGCACACACACAGTATTTGCGTATTTAACCTATAAGTACACATTAGTACAGTACCTCAACATGTGAAGTTTCGGTTTTGGTCCACGAGCCTTGGGTTTGACACACTTGGCTTTGATTGACCAAAGTACTGTTTAAACACTGTGTCGATTTGTTGTTTTTGTTTTTTTTGTTTTTTGTTTTTCTCTCGTGTGTGTATCTAACAATAACTCTTTCAAATGACTGGATGACTCTGTTGAATTCTGGTTCAACAAAACAACGTTGGTCGTTGTACTCTAATCCAGACGGAGCTGCTGGAGCGGGAGACCAAACTCAGCCAGGTTTTTTATGCCTACAGATGGCGTCGGTTGTGCCGTCGCAGACGAGAAATTGTTTTGTTTTTTTTTTTCAAAAATCAACACCTTTTCTTTTCACACTGTTTCCAGGCTAAGCTGGTCAGAAATGAAACAAACACACTCTCCCCTTTAGAACCGATGGAGGACATTTGAGTCGCCGTCTGAGGCTTCACTCTGTGGACAGATTTGTCCTGTTGTTTATCAACGATCTATGACTAGAGGTGTAACGATACACTCGACCCACCATAACATATTATCCACAATTATTTTTGTTCACGACACCGTTTTATCTGGATTTATTTCTTTTTTTTCTGACCAATTCCGACGATCCTTTATTTGTAAGAACTCTTCAAAATCCCATCACCGACTGAAGTGGTCTGTGAACCTCATCAACTGAAACTGTCGTCTTCAATAACAGAATACAAAAAATGAACATTCTTCCCACGTTCTATTTCAGCACCTGAATGTCACTAAGGCAACGTAGGGACTTGACTTCTTGGCCACCTACTGTACAAGAGTGTGTAGTGTCATGGTATGACCAGTGAGCTTACGTCATGGTATGACCAGTGAGTTTTTGAGGTAACGCAGCTTAGTCCTTACACCTAAATATGTGATTCATCGTTTTATTTCAACTGATATTTGTATTTGTCTCGCATTTGTATAAATTTTTCCCCGATTCCTCCCTATCGATGACTGTGACTCAAAGACACTGCGTCGTTTCCTTTGTCTACAGCAGGCGACCAACAGTGTGAATACACCAAAGACCTCGGCGAGTGGAACGATGACGTCATTGAGGTCAGGACTAATGTAAACATGTCGTTCACACACTGTTGGATCCAGATTGGAAACATCCATATGTCCCAGCATAATACCCAACATGCAAATCCACGAGCGTGACATGTGGCTCAGAGGTGTGGGTTTTTTATCTCCTGCATCTCATTTTCTGGATCTTTGTTTTTCTCCCCGGTGCTCCAAGCACTTCAACTCTTTCTATTTTTTTTTTTCAAAATCCATAGGGTTTCTTTAATGGTCTTGTAAGTAAAAAAAAAAAGAAAATCAGCAACATCTGAATGTCATGATAGAGCTGCTGGATTGGACCGTTGTGTCAGTCAGACCGTCAGTCGTAGACCTTCTGACTGTCCTGACCTGACCCGAGCTGGTCCGCTGACCAGAGGTTGAAGCACACAACAAACACGGTTCATGATGGGATTTGAGGCTTGAGGTTCTTCAGTGAAATTCAAACTTTTTTAACTGTGAATTACTGTGTATCAGAGCAACGACATGTGGAATTATTGGATGTGTTAAAGCTCTTTGTACAATCACAAATGTAATATAAGATATATGACAACACCTGGCCCATATATTTTCTATGGACCAGATTTAGTTTATCTGAGATGCAGCCCACATTCAGGAGCCCACATGGTTCCCTGCGTCTAATCACATGTTGAAGGGTTCGTACCGCAGCGGTTGTAGCCCACGGGCAGGAACCTTCTCCGCACCGTGTTGATTTAGACATGCTGCTTTATGGGATGATGGAAATAGAAAATACAAACAAATTCTGGATCCTTTTTTTTTTTCCTCAATCCAATCCCCCGACTGTGCCGTTCACTCTCCGTCTCCGTCTTTGTCTGAGGAACTTTGACAGATTCACCCTGGATAACAGCCCATGTTTGAATCCCGCCTGCAGCCTCTGCCTCCGGGTGCCGTCTCCTCTCCCCCCCCTTCCCTCCCTCCCTCCCACTCTCTCTCATGCGGCTGTAAAGACGTGGCTCAAACCCGATAAAAACAATCTTTTTATTTTCCCCTTCTCTGTTCCGTGAGAGGCAGAGGTGTGTTTGTGTCTTCCCTCAAGCAGATTACAATCGGCGACCCAGAAGGAACATTTATCTCCCGGTGACACACGACTCAACGGGACGTTCATTCAAAAGCAAAGAGCTGATAAATTTTCAAAATATCCCTGAATCTGCAGGGAGTGAACAGCGAGTTCTGATGAACACCAACGATGAGAAAGTTCTCGAACCAGGGAAGAGTTTGTTAGTTAGTTTTTATTACTGTATTTTTTGGATTATAAGTCACGGAGAAGTATAAGTCGCACCAGCCAGCTAGAGTGCCCTCTAGTGGCTGTCAGCGTGAAAATATCAAACATGTGAAGTTAAATATTTTAAGTCATAAACCCAGCCAAAGGATGAAAAAAAGTGTGACTTATAACCCTGAAAATATGGTAATAACATCAGTGGTCCTGTGTCCTGCCTTCAGAATATTTGGCCACTGGTGATACGCATGCCATAGTTTGAGAACCTCTGTCATGTACTTTTCCTATCAATGGTCACCACATTATCTTTAACAAAATAGACAAGAAAAATGTATCAACAATGTCTACGATAAATTCTATTTCACTGGACAGTTTAGTTGGAGCACAGCGATGCTACGCTGCGCTGCGATGTGTTTTCATGTAGGAATCAAAGCAGGATTCTGGGATGGAAACCAAATGAATCCGATTTGAGTCGAGTTTCTTCGTACTGATGACATGTTGTCGAGCCGGGTTCTGCATGATAATGTGCGCCGCTCCAGGTCTTTCCTCTAATCCTAGAACAATAAATTCTCCAGGACAAACAGTTAAAATGATCTGTTTGCTCCAGAACAAGATAAAAGCAAAGTAGTGGCAACGTTCTCCTCCGGCACTGTTGATTTGTGGCCGTAGTTAAGAGCAACTCGGTATGGATTCATTACTTTTGAGAGTTGGCACATTACACACGCAGAGTTCCCTCGTTATTTATCGCTACATGATGTACATAAATAAAATGTTTTCAAGGGCGGAACACAACATCCGAACGCCCCAGCGTTAGGAGTTTTACGATTCATTTGCCCTCCATGACGCCGTCAGGACATTATTTAAATCTATATCTCGAGCTGCTGTTTTTGTCCTATTAAACTTAAACATTTAAATGTTGTTTATTGGTTTTTTTTTTATATAAAAATCTGTCTGAGTAGAAACTGGACCCTTTCATTTTTAGTCTTTTCACTTCTGTGAATAATTTTAGGAGAACTTCAAAACCAAAACGAGTGCAATTTCTTGAAATAAATCTTTGTAACTTTATGCTGACTAACTTCAAGCTTCCTCTTTGGATTTTTGTTTGTAAATTCTCCTCTTTTTTGATCACTGTTCCGTTTTCCTGGCTGTACTAATTAGTTTTATATTAAGCTCAAAGTGTCTTTAAAATTTTGATTCAGTGCCGATAAGAAGGTCGATTTTATTGGCTGCGTTCCTTCCTTCAGTTGTCATATAATATCTATGAATATATATTATATTTATATATAAACATTATACACAGGGACTAAAATCTGCTGCAACAAATCCCAGAATTCCTCACTCATCAGTCTTTAAACCTCTCTAACAGATCGATTTATTCAGAAGACGGAGACGATGACGCAGGGCTGCTCCTGGCCAAACGGGGGCGCTGAGGTCGATTTTGAAGTGCCTCTGCTGACCCTGAGACCCTGACCTCAGTTCATGCACATTCAGCAGTGGTTCCTGCTCTGAGCTTCTGTTCATGACACTTTCTTCTCCTGCGTCTTATTTTTATTATATCTTTGAAAAAGTCATTATTTTCAGGCTTAAAGAAATGCTAACTGGAGAGCACGTCTAAAACATGTAAACTCCAAACAGATGAGAATCACTGAGGATTCAAATGCTTATCTTTCTGCTGTAAGGCAAGAGCACTAGCCACTCTCCCACAGTGTGGTCTGTTATGAACCATATCTGTAAGTACATTTAATAATGCCCTCTTCATTCTTCTTCTTCTTCTTCCTGTTTTTATTACGATAGCATGAGAGCAGATAAGAAAAGATAATCCCCTATTTCAGTCACGGGATGGAGAATTGTACTGGGAGGAGGGAGGGGCGCCCCCTATAGAAAGTTTGAAAAAAAAAGGGATAAAACCAAATCAGCTTTTTGCGCGTCAGTCAGAGCGGAGGAATGAAGCGGAGAGGAGCAACAGCTGTAGTGACTGCATCATCATCACCATCATCATCATCATCATCATCATCATCATCACTATCAGCAGCAGCAGCAGCAGCAGCAGGATTACAGTCAGTGATACCTCCGTCTGTGCTCCCAGGGAGAAAAACTCTCCTAATTACAGGTAAACAAACCGTTTATCTGTTCCTTTTATTAATTCATTTATTCATTTTTTTCCAGATTTGAATCATTTATTCTGTCAAGCAAAAACAAATCTCTCTGATTTGATGGGTCTGGTCTTTTTTTTTTAACCCCGACCTCGTTGCGCACGGACTCGGGGTTGTTTTTGGCATAAATCTCACGCCGCCTTGACAGCTGACACTCTCTTCTCTGTCTTTTCTCAGTCTTTCACAGGTGAAGTCCCGCCGGGCGATGCGCACAGATAAGGAGCTTTACGCGTTCCAGGAGTGCGCGTTCCAGGATCGTTGAGGCACTTTCTCTTTTGCGCATCACTCTATCGGACTCTGTCGGACTCTATCGGACTCTGTCGGACTCTATCGGACTCTGTCGGACTCTATGCATTATGATGTTCCACCAGCTGACGGAGCCTTCAGTGAACGGCACCTGCACAGGAGCCACTGTGTGCAACGGCAGCGCGGACGGAGACACGCTGCAGCTCCCGACCTTCTCCACCGCGGCCAAAGTCAGGGTCATCATCACCTTTTCCCTGTGCGCCGTGTCCGCCGTCTGCAACCTGCTGGTGCTGTGGGCGGCCAGCAACGGCGGCAAGCGCAAGTCCCACGTCCGGATCCTGATCATGAACCTGACGGTGGCGGATCTGCTGGTGACTTTTATCGTGATGCCCGTGGACGCGGTGTGGAACATCACCGTGCAGTGGCAGGCTGGTGACGCCGCCTGCAGGCTGCTGATGTTCATGAAGCTGGTGGCCATGTACTCCTGCGCCTTCATGACCGTGGTCATCAGCCTGGACCGGCAGTCGGCCATCCTCAACCCGCTGGGCATCAGCGAGGCCAAGAGGAAAAGCAAAATCATGCTGACCGTGGCCTGGACCATGAGTGTGATCCTGGCGCTGCCTCAGGTAGGAACCAAGGAGGAAGTTGAAGGAAGCTGAGAAGTGAAAGTTTTCACGAGCAGAATGTTTTCATCCGTCTCTGTCTGTGTTAGTCTCTGTCTCGTCATGGTTCTTGGAGACTGGCTGATCCTTTAGAAACCACATCTTGTAGCATCAAAGTGAAGGTCATAAAGTTCTAAGACAGATGGTCTGTTAGTTTGTAAAGATTTCTGTCATCAACTCCAACACTGTTGAAAGGTCTGATCATCATCACTGCGACGTGTTTGATAGGATCAGGTTTTCTAACACTTTAAATAGGTTTTGATTCAGTGCCATCAGATTTTTTTTTTCTGTCCGTAGACCAGACAAAGTCTCGGTTGTGACGTAGAGTCAAAAACATCCTGCAGTAAAAAAAAACAAAACCTTTTTCTTAAATCATCTTGTCAGTTATTATCAGCGGATATTTGGACTAAAAATGAACATTTACATCAGACAGTACAGCTCCGTGTGAACAAAAAAGTCGCCCCCTGGTGGTTAACTGTCATTGCGTGGGGGTACCTCCCGTGGTTTATTTTATTTGACTCCATTGATGCCCTGATTTTTGTTGTTCTGATGATGATGTTCATAACAGACAAAAATCATCACCAGGTGTCACTATTACGACAGATGAAAACGTCAACATTAGGCCAGTCGTCCATTCTAGGATCATGTTCCATAGCGACTCAAGTCTAATTTAAATAGTGTCATCGGTGATGTCATGATGGCACGGCTCTGAAAGACCAGCAAGGAATCACGTGACATCAATGGAGTCAACTGAATATGAGTCATGACCGTCTCCTCATTGTACACACACACACACACACACACGTGTAGGTGTGAAATGTCTTACAGCCACGCACTCACAGGAGCAATGTTGGGTTTTAGTTGCATGTGAATTAGCGTCTCGTGTTCATAACAGGTGAGACATTAATCATTAACTTCCTTTGTTTTAATTCTTTATGTTTCTGTCATTTCTTCATTGTTCCTACTGCTCCTGATTTATTTAATTTAATGGTACACCATACTGATAAAAGAGACCTCAGTTCTAATCCTAACTCTAAATCAGGCCTATTAGAGTGTCAAAATATTCTCCCACCCCTGAGGGACCTGAAACATGTCCCTGTGAGGACAGTGTCCCTGTAATGCTGTTTAAAAACATGTCCCCACAAGTATAGCTATACAGGTACCACACACACACACAATAGTACACACAGCTATCAGATGTCATCATGTTGACATGCGACCTCATCTCTATGTCCGCTGAGCGGTGACATTTCCAGAACTGAAACTTGTTGTTTTACTATTGTCTATGATTTAAAGTAACATTTACATGACATGTAGGTCACGACCTTTGACCTGCCACAAGGACTCTGCTTTTTATACCAACGCACGTGTCATAGCCTGAAAATCGTCACAACAACTATTTCTATTTTACAGGCAGTACAAGCATACTTGTAGGGCAGCTATGGTGTGTCAGTGGGTTGTGGTGCAACCAAATGGTCATAGGTTTGATTCCAGACTGCGTGGGTAGCAACCTCCTGAAGATGGGCTAAAAAATATGGCTAATCTTTTTAGCATAAATCTTTAATAATAATAATAATATTAAATATTATTTAAAAAGCGCCTTTCAGGACACTCAAGGACACTTTACATCAAATAATAAAACAGATAAAACAGATAATAAAACCTTTGACCTAACGGAGACAGAAACAGCAGAACACGCCCTCGTGTGGTTTGATGTGTTTATGTCACGTGTGTCAGGCCCATGTTGTCACTTCACTCGATCGGCCTCTTTCTCTCCGCCTCCGTCAGTTTATTACTTCACAACCTGTAATTTTCTCCTACATTTACAGTTAGAGAAAATAATGGACAGGAGCGTTTTCAAAGTTTCCACTTGTTTCACGTTTTTTCTTTTCTCCTAAGGACCTCATCACCATCTTCCTTAATAATTTTATATAATACATTAAATTATAAATTGTACAGGCTATGTATAAGATTAATGGCTGGGCGCAATTAAAATCAACGGAGTAATTACAATTTCTCTGGTTGCGCTGCTCCCAGTGGCTGATACTCCAGATTTATATCCAATCATAATCTAACTTCATGTGTTGCCCTAAGGGCCTTGGCTTATTTCAGTATTTTTCATGAAAAAAGTAAGACATTAAATTAATTTTAATAGTTCATAAAGCAAGTGTCGTATATATAAACGTATATGTTTATATTAATCATTATTCCGATAAGTATATCATGTTTTAAACTTTAGCTATCAGGTTTGTAAACAGGAATACAAATCCGATAGAACACTGGCGCTGGGAGCCGGAAATCAATGGCAATGACGTTGTTTCTTGAGCGTCAAGCTAGCTTAGCACTTCCCGTCAAGCCGGCTGCTGTTACGATGGCGATTTGAGTGATTTGATTGGTCTAACAAACTAGCAAAGTGCACCCAGAAACTCCAACACATGAAAATGAAGTTTTCTCTGCGGCCAATCCTCCGCGTTCGAGCGGGTTTAAAAGCGATTTAAAACCGTTGCCGTAAATACGACTGGACAAACTGGACTTCCATCGTTAGCGCGGATGACGATAGAAAAGGACTATTTACAAACGCACTGGTAATCTGTAGGACAGAGTCGTTGAACTCATCATACGGAAATAGAGGAGGATGGATTATTATGCACAACAGAAAAGAGGAACTGGTGAGTAAAATGCCCCCTTTTCTCTTTTTTAAATAATATCCTAAATCTGTTATGTTTTTGATGCGTTTTGATGTACATTAGGACGCTCCGTGTTCTCCGTGTGTGTTGCTTTAGTTATGGCGTTTTTTATGGAGTTTTCTTGGTCAAACCGTTAAACTTCTTATACTACATTTCTGCATGATATTGATGGGTTTTAAAGATGAAGTTATTAATACCGAAGGCATAGGTGAGAAATGCACGGTACTCCACTGCTTTTGTACATTTTTCTTGACATGTTTCCATATTAGTAATTACATGTAACACCCCGTGATTAGTTACTAGAGTAAACGTTGCAATTAAACCTTGTACTCACCAGACAGCCCTGCTATTCAATCATCTATTTTAAAAAATAAATCCAAAATGGGTATAGTTTATTTTTGTTTAATCTCGTTCACTCAAGTTTCACCTTTTCAACACAATCGTCCTGAGTAATTCTGAGTAATTTTCTGTGAAATCGGAATCGGAAACAGAATGTGTGGGAGAGTTTATTTTATTTTGGGTTTTTTCTGGCTGCAGGTCATCAAAGAGAGCTTAAAACAAGTCAGACATGAAAGCTTTTCTTCTCACGGCTCTGAGTGAATCCTACAGGTTGTTACACCTGTCACATCTCTGTTGCTCATTCATTAGAGGAGGTGGTGAAAGCAGGAAGCGTGCTGCTACATAAAGACACACGTTGTTTGGTTGTGATGAAACCTGAATAGTCTCTCTCTCTCTCTCTCTCTCTCTGTCTTGTGTCTTTGACAGTGCAGTGAGTCAGCGTGAAGAGGATGCATTCACTGATTCACTTGGTTTTGTTTATGAAAATTCTTAAAAGCTTTTTTCATGTCCTCCAGGTCTCAGGCCTTGTGAGTGGTCAGTAGCAGCTTCCTCCAACTGAATTCAGCTTCAGATACAGCAAATAAATTGACCTGACGGTGTTTCACCACGTTTGTGAATTTTAGCATCGGTTGTCTTTGAATGAGGAGCCTAAATTAAAGGCACTAGAGTAGACGATGGTTGACTGAGGTTGACAGTTTTTTTTCTACTGAAAGATTTGAGGGTATAATTCCACAGTTTTGTCTCAAAAGCTGGAAACATTATTGAAATATTTTGGTCTAAATTGACCTTAAATTATGACAAAGTCGCTGCAGATTTGTTTGCTTACAGTCTGTGACACCGATCTGTGCAGGCACAGGGACGTGGAAGCCAATGATGATGCACTTTATAAGAAAACATTTTGTGACGTACATAAAGATTTCTCTGTTGTCGTTATAACACATGTAACACATGTGCTCACGGTACATTCTTACCTACTAATAGGAATAACAGAAATAGCAGCAGAAATGTTCGGGAAATAGTTTAAAAAATAAAATAAAAAATAAGAAAACTAATGATTTGAGCAGTATTTTTAAAATTGCTTTTTTAGATATGAGGTTGGCAGCAGGAAAGTATAAGCACAGCACTTTACTTTGAACTGCAGACAAAAGTAGTTGCGCTTCTAATTAATTTAACAGCACTTAATATTTTTCAACGAAACTTTTATTCGGCCAACTTCAAAGTCTGCTGCCCTTTAGACAGTAATCATTTCTGCGAATTCAGTTGTCATCAAGGTGAGCTCAACCACAAATTATATTAGTCACTCAATATTATTAGCTTTTGACGAGCACACAGAAAAATAAAAGCAGGAGGGGAGGGGGCGGGGGGGGGGGACATGAACGATCCCAGTAGATGAAAAGCAAGAGTTATTTACTCTGAGGTGCTGGAATGGACTGTGGTGAGCAAAAGCTCTTATGCATTTTGAGACATTTGTGATTTTGAAGGACGGAGAGGCTGAGAAGGACACGGTAAACAGATTCTTTATGGAAATGGATTCATTCTATTGACCGGGGAGTAACGCAATTGGAGCCAGAATGTATCGGCCTCAGTTCTAAGTCTGATCAGTCACGTTTGAGAAGAGATTCACTGCCCACAGTTAAATTCCTCCTGAGGGACAAGATAGACGGAATGGACTGATCAAACTGCGTTGGCTACAGCTGTTTCTAATTTGTCGGCGTGCTCATGGAGGCGGCTGTTAAGAAAGATAAGCCCGAAAAATGTCAGGAGTTGTTGAAGTCGTCTCTCCAAACTGTAGTGACGACTTCAGTTTGGACGGACGACAAATATTTGACAGTGATTTCGCTCGGGGTTTGAATTTTGTCCTTTACTTCATCCTGAACTAATGACCGTGGGACACAGAGATCAGCTGTTAACGCTGGATTTGTCCAGTGTTTACTTCTT